AGTGACGGACGGGCAGGAGACAGGTGGTATTATGATGCTGTAGATGTCTAGAACTCCACCAATCCATGGTGGCAGCAGAGTGCCTGTTCTAAGCATATGGTTACTATAGTGACTGATAACACACGGGGAGATGTGATGTGTTTGTTTCCATGTGATCAGTATTGATTGTTTTCTGATGTATTAATGATTTTTAACTAATTGGTTTCTTCATGTATTGATTTGTGATGTTATTGATTCTTCTTGACCCTCTGACATAGGAGAGCAGGTCACCTGAAGGGCGGAGCCTGATGTTATAACACCATGCCCAGGTGTTAAAGCACTTATTGATCAGTGTTATTATGGATTATTGTTGTTTCAAAATAAAAGTTTAACTGGTGTACTGTGTGTGTGTGTGTGTGTGTATATGTGTGTGTGCTTTACTCACCTGAGACATGTTCAGTTCCTCTGACGTCCAGCAGGTGCTGCTGTGACTTTTGAGTCCTAACTGCTCTTTTTTTTAAATGAAATAAATAAAACTAAAATAATAAGATATTTCACCGTATTTCAACGAAAATAAATGCAAATAATTCTGGGTATTAATCAATCCATGATATATGACATCTTTTTTTTCCAAGCTGCTTAGACAGCATTTGACACTGTTGACCACACAATCCTATTAAATTAGGGGTCCCCAATCCCAGTCCACGAGGGCCGGTGTCCCTGCAGGTTTTAGATGTGTCCTTGATCCATCACAGCTGATTTAAATAGATAAATAACTGTCTTGTCTCCAGAGGCCTGGTAATGAACTAATCATGTGATTCAGGTGTGTTGACCCAGGGTGAGATCTAAAACCTGCAGGGACACCGGCCTCGTGGACTGGGATTGGAGACCCCTGTATTAAACCATCTAAAGACATGTGTTGGGTTTGCACTTGTACAAACGTATACATGTATTTTATGTTCACATATGTGTGCTTGTGTGTGAATGTGTACACTCTTGTATATGTATGTGCATATTTGCATGTACACATATATTTTTACAAACATATGGGATGTCACAATGTTTTCTATTTTTTCATCTTTCATCTATTTTAATTCTTTTTATTTGATTATGCTATCCTTCTGTTCAGCACTTTGGCGGACACTTGATGTCCTTTAAATGTGCTTTATAAATAAAGATCAC